GGAAAGCTGAATGTGCAGTTCTCAAGTTTGATGGTCTCCTGATATTACGAGAAACAATGTTTTTATGTGTGTGGTGGGGACTGTTGTGGCTACATAGCGTTTTTGTTGAGGAGGACCCGTAGAAGTGGAAAGCTCCACAGGGTTCAAGGCCCGCGTGGAATGTGCCTAGCTTGAGCCACCAGGAGCTCGTGTCCTCCAGTTAGGGGCTGCAACGATGAGCGCCAAATTGGGAAAAGGGTACTAATTATTTCTTGAAATATGCCCTTTGTTTAGGGAAATGAGTACTTTAGAATATTGGGCATGGGGAGGAGAAATAAAATGGGTGCTTGGCCAAGAGAAGTTTGGAATCACTAGGGTAAGAAAATTAAAATCAGCAGAATTGAGCGTAGTGGGTCCATAACTGCTGGCAAAGGTTTCTGGGGGAACAGCTAGGTTTGGAAGGCTGTCTCAGCCAGACAGGGAAAAGTACAAGACAGTTCCTCCTCTTCTCTGGGACTCTGTTCTTCCCACCCTGTAAAATGAGAGCAGGAGACCAGAGGATCTCTTGGGCCTCTTTGTTCTGAGAACGGGGTCTCAGGACTCAGGTCCTGTGATGTTCAATTCCATGGAGGTGGCTTCATGGTTGCTGGGTTTGCTATGGAGTGGGAGCTGGATTTTGACTCTAGGAATGGAAAAGGCCACCCAGATCCCTGGGCAGCCAGAAGAAGAAGAGAAACCAATGGAGTGAGGGGCTGATAATAGTGAGAAAAACTCTTCTTCTTCTTTTGGAGTCACTACTCCTGTGTTCCTTCTCAGTTTTAGTGTACCCAAAACTGAGAGAATGCTCAAGGAATCCCACCTACTATGAATGCCACAGAAAGTGCAAATATTCCTGGAATTGTGCTCTTGGCTATGAATGCTGCTTTTCTGTCTGTGGAACTATCTGCTTGAATATCAGACAAATTGGTAAGATCTAATATTCACCCATCTATTACCATTAGATTCTCAAAGACTATGGAACCCGTAACTGTGAGGGAACAGACAGAAGAAGACTTGCCTCCCCTGTCCTGGTACCAATTCCAACCTGGGACCCCTATCTCTTCCTCCAGCCCAAGCCCTCATTGTCCACCTGCAAGCCTGCCTGATTTATCCAAACCTCAGGAGATCTGACAGTTATGTCTCTGCTCACTGGACTTAAAACATCCTGAGAGAAGCCTTGTATGGGCATCTCCTAAACCACAGAAATATCCTGCCCCCAGGGTTTGGGTGGATCTGTTACTCTCAAAGAAATGTGTTTCACATCAGACTGTGTGGCCATTGAATACCTATCCCTTATTTTTTCCAGAGACTTTCATTGAGAACACTTCACCTAGCACCGAGGCAGAAACTACTTTATATCCCACAACCACCACTGAGAGTTGGGATACAGACATAAATTAATTCTACATGATGTCCAGTGGTATCATCGTCTTGTCCCAGCTGAGAGGCAAGGGAAGGGAGGAGGAGGGGTCCTGGGTGAAGTCTCTCTTACTTGTTAACCCTCTTCCCTGAGCCATTATATTATCAGCCTCATTTCCCTGAAGAATAAACTATGGCAGTAACCCAGAACCTCTGTCTCTTCTTCTATAGTACCGGTACCATCCCCTCCCTCCACCTTTTCCCTAAGCCCCCAACCCCTGCCTCCCAGTGGATTTCCCTGCCTTCTCACCATTCTGAAGAATCAACTCCTTAGCCAAGATTCCTAGATTCTTTTGTTCATTGACTACCATCTCTGGGGAAACTGTTTATGTGTGGGATGGTCTTATGACTACAAAAAACACCATCCCTCTGGGTTCCCAGATCTTCTCAGTGCAGCCTTTCTTTCCTTATTTCAGGCCTGTGATTCTAGTAGGTTCCCACAAGCAGCCCTTTTAACTAATCCAGGGAAGTACAATCTTCCTTACAGGTGATAGCACCCATGGTCTAGAATTGAAAGGAAATGCCATTGACCTTTCCAAACTCTCCTCTCAGACATTGCCTTATTTGTTAGAATTATTTACTCAATCACTTGGAATTTATAGGAATATTTTCAAATGTAAATACTCCTAGAAAGAATAGGCAACATTTATAAGGTTATAGAGAACCTACACTGTGCTCAGGCTTGGGCAAGGACCACTCCTCATGAGTGGAGGTGTGACTATCTGTTGGCATATGGCCCAAAGAAGGGTTAAGTCTTATTATCCAAACAAGCAGAAACCAGCACGGGGCATGGCAAGAAGGGATGAATGGAATATACAGTCAGTACCTTAAGGTATAAATAAAGAGGGGTCATTATGCGCATCATGGTATCAGGTTTCCTGGAAGAAGAGATGCTTAGTCCCACCTTGAGGGATAGGGAAGAATTGGGGCAACTCAGAATGAAAGCTATTTTTCCTCCATGACAGGATTAAATATAGACTAGGGGGAGAAAAAAGGGAACTTGAAGGAAAGGAAAGGTTGATACCCTAGCTTCCTCCTGCCCCCAACACCAGCAGATGAAGTTGTGACAATATTGGATTATGAACTTGGTATTAAGCTCTGTGACCATAGGATAGTATAATTTGCTAACTTTTCCTTTCAGAGTCTGTTATTAATACCATAAAACCTGCAGAGCAGAAGTATTATTTGCTAAAATTAACAAAGGAAAACAAGCACAGGCAGAAGACTGATCCTACTCAAGTCCACTCAGTAGGTTGATGACTGATAGATATATAGACCTCATTCTCTAAATGCCCCTCTACCCAAGTTTCCTGAAATACATATATGTCAGGGGCCAGAGATGTGCTTAAAATAGGGGTCTAGTGGAGAATAGGGTTGAGGAGGGACGCTGTGCAGAAAGAGTGATAACTGAGATGGGTGAAGGAGGACAGGTCCATAGTGTTCTCCTGGACTAACAGGGGGTGATTGCCTTAGGACAAACCAATGAACTGTTTCCTGATAAGCAATTAGCATAAAGAAGCAGTTGAGAAGAACTCTGGAGCCACCAGGCAGATAGGACACTCTTAACCAAGTAGGTACATTAAGGAACACAGTGAGCCTTCAACCCAGAGTTAACCCACTCTGGAAGCAGAATTGGGAGGTGACCAGTATCCAAATGTGGGGTTGGGAGACCCCAAGGGATCTCATTTTGCTTTCTTGGAAGGATTGGTCGCAAGTAAACTGGCCTGCCATTGCCAGAAGCATAATTGACCAGCAGATAATTACTTTCCAGCAACTGATAGACTAGGAAGACAAAACAAAACAAAATACAGCCAACCCAGTAAGGATCTAGAAGATTTGAATAACACAAATAAAAAGTGACTAACATATCAAAATGAATTCAGAATTACTGTGGAATATACATTCTTTTTTTTTAAATTTTATTTTATTATGTTATGTTAGTCACCATACATTACATCCTTAGTTTTTGATGTAGCGTTCCATGATTCATTGTTTGCGTATAACATCCAGTGCTCCATGCAATACATGCCCTCTTTAATACCCATCACCAGGCTAACCCAGCCCCCACCCCTCTCCCCTCTAAAACCCTCAGTTTGAGTCCCGGTGTTCATATTCTCTCATGGTCCGTCTCCCCCTCTGATTTCCCCCCCTTCATTTTTCAAAAGTCTCAACAAATGTCAAGAAATTGAAATCAAACAGACCACAGTGGCATTAAACTAGAAATAAATAAAGTAAAACGGATAGAAAAATTTTCCATATGAGTAAAAATTAAGGAAAACAATTCTGAGGAATCATCAGTCAAAATGAAATTATGATAGAAAATAGAAAAGATTTTGAACCGGAAAATGAATGTGACATCTCAAAACACATACATACAGAACGATGTCCAACAAGTGGCAACAAATGAGACCTCAGCCTCTGTCCCCCTCCAAAGATCAATAATTATACAGCTATCCATGAATAAAAATAGTTCTTTTTTTTAAAAACTTTTTTTTTTTTAAGATTTTATTTATTTGACAGAGAGACACAGCGAGAGCAGGAACACAAGCAGGAGGAGTGGGAGAGGGAGAAGCAGGCTTCCCGCTGAGCAGGGAGCCCGATGTGGGACTCAATCCCAGGACCCTGGGATCATGACCTGAGCCGAAGGCAGACGCTTAACGACTGAGCCACCCAGGCGCCCGAACAAAAATAGTTCTGGAAGAGCTCTGGAGTCCATGTAGGAAACTTCAGCAACACAGGGGAACAAACACCTGAAATTAATTGCATAGGAAGAGATGGAAGTACAGCTACATTTGCCTGCATCACCCCATCGCCTGGCCAGCAATGCTCCATGCCAAGGAGGAATCTCCAGGTAGAGCTCCCTTCACCAGGGAAGGGAGAGCAGGGGGAGCCACTGGCCCCCCAGCCTTTTGGGGGGATAGGGTAACTGGGTGATGGGTATTCAGGAGGGCACGTGTGGTGATAAGCCCTGGGTGTTATATGCAACTAATGAATTGTTGAACACTACATCAAAAACTAGCAATGTATTATATGTTGGCTAACTGAATGTAATAAAAAAGAATAAATGTTTGGTAAAATTGTCCAGAGGGGGAAAGTTAAAATAAAATAAAATAACAAAATAAAAATAAAATAAAATAAAATAAAATAATAAAATAAAAATAAATAAAATATACACATTAAAAAGAAAGAAAGAAAAAGAGTAGTAGCAGCCACACAGTGGCAGTGATTGTGGTAAACGGTGACCTGCCCTACAAGAAAATCCAGCAGATTTGCCAGTGAAGAAACCAATGGCCAGCATGGCAGCCACAGAACCCTGCAGATTTCACTGGCTTTTGCCACACGAGTATTTGCATTCACTGTCACTGGCCACCTGAGTCTCTCCCCACTTCTTACCCTCTGCCCACCTGGAGCCCAGGAACTGCACCAGTAGCCAACCCAGGCTTCTGCAGCTGTGCAATTGCAAGATGCCAGTCTAGACACCCCCATGCCTGACCCCCACTGAAGTGCCATATGCATGCTTGGTGCTGGCCCCTCTCCTGTGACAGGCCTCCACTAAAGTACACATGCCCCGGAAAAACTGCAAAGCCAAAGAAGGGCCTGCTGACCCCCCAGGGCCCCTGCAGCTGCTTGTGGTCCTGGATCAGGCCCTTTCTTCGGTCACTGGCCTGTACCATGGCACTCATCTACAGATAGTCCCTCCTACTGTGCAGCTGCACACCCCTGGTCTCACCCCCATCACAGGCCTTCCCTGCCAGGTGCTGGGGATCTAATGTACAGCATGTTGACTATAGTTAATAATAGAGTATTGCATACTTGCAAGTTGCTGAGAGAGCAAATCTTCAGTGATCATCACAAGCTTCTTGAGTCTATAGGCTTATGTCTTCCAACATATTTAAATTTTCAGTCATATTTCTTCAAACATGTTTTCAGCATTGTACTCTTCTCCTCTCCTTTCAGGGCTTGTGGCACAGATATCGGAACTTTGGTTATTGTCCCTTAGGCTCTGTATATGTTTTTTTAGTATATGTTTCTTTGTTGTTCAAATTGGATAATTTCCATGGATCAGTCTTCAAGTTCATTGCTCCTATCTCTGTCATGTGCATTCTGATATTAAGCCCATTCAATGAGTATTTAATCTCAGTTATCATGTTCTTTCCAAATTCCTTCTCCTTTATGTCTTCTATATTGTTGCTGAGACTTTCTATTTTTCCATCAGTTTTGAGGGTGTTCTTGATTACTTGCTTCAGAATTTTTATAGTAGCTGCTTTAATGTCTTTGTCGGATAATTCCAACATTTATTTCATCTTGAAACTGGAGTCTGTTGGTAGTCTTTTCCACAGGAGTTGATATTTTCCTTTTCTTTCATATGTCCCATAATGTTGGATTATAACCTGGACATTTTGAATATTGTAAGACTCTGAGTCTAGTTTACACCAAATGGAGAAGGTTGATGTTATGTTTTCAAAAGTAATTGAAATGGTTAGGTTTAGGCTGAAAAGTTCAACCTGTCTTGGGTGGGTTGTGTTCCAATGTCAGTTCAGTTTTTCAAAGCCTCTGTTTTCAGTTCATTTGGTGCCTCTCTGCATATGCACCACCAAGTGGCTAGTCTGAGACCTAGGAGGTGGTGTATCTGTTCGTTCATTTCTCAAAGTATATCAGCTAGGATCACATCCATGTGTGCACAGCTTGGAGGTGAACCCAGGAATAAATAAACAACTGTATGTGTTTGCTTTCTCAAGTTCTCCCCTCGATAATCTCCCCAGTGCCTTCCGTTTCCCTCAGGCTCCAAACAGCTTAGGCTTTGGTTACCCTGCTCTGCTAGGCCCTTCCACAACTACATCTGTATCCAGAGCCAAGTGGTGAGAGAACAAAGAGAAACAGGGACAACAGGGGCCACCCACTCTCTTAGAATTATAGCTGCACCCAACAGAGGAAGGATTTCCCTTTCTCAGAGTCTTGGCTCCTTCCAATCCTGATTGCAGCTGCTTCCCATCACTATTATAGATTTTCTTAGGGACTAGGACACAGAAGAAGAATTAAGGGGAGTCCAGCAGGTTCAGTGGGTAAAATATGCAACTCTTGATCTCGGGGTTGTGAGTTTGAGGCCCGTGTTGGGTGTAGAGATTACTTAAAAATAAAATCTTTAAAAGGAGGAGGAGGAGGTAGAGGAGGAGGAAGGGGAAGAATTAAGAGAAACAGAAGAAACCAGGGGATTTCTGCACCTCTTCTGGGCATTACAAGGTCCCTTTTCTATGCCTCAAGCCAAAATTGGAGGGTTTCTCCTGACATTCTATCTGTGCCCTAGTGCTTATTTTCAGGTTGGCCAGGGGATACCAGAAGGGGAAAAAAATCCCAGTAGACTCATCACCAACAACATGGTGCTTTGAATTCTAGCCTTCTTTTCCATCTGCCTGTTAGTACTGACTTTCCAGTTTCTATAGCTGTATTCAGTGGGACAGGAAAGGAACTAGAAACAGGGAATAGTATTTATTCTTGGAAGTGGGCTCGCTTTTCCTTCTAATTAGGTCTTTAGTGTGGAAGTTTGTGTTAATTTAATCAGGAGCCAGGCTAGTTTGCAGTTTATGGGTTGTTTGTTGCTGTGGTTACCTCAAGTGTACTATGAATTTTTGGAGAAAATCTACAAGAGAGTGTGGATGCCCCACCCTCCGCAGCCCTGTATTTGCAGCCCCAGAGACTTCATTTTCTTTTGCCAGTGCACACTCCGCCCCTAGAAATTTGCCGACCACCTAGTTGAACTGTCCTTCCTGGTGCCTGGCTTCCTGTCTCCTAGGTAATCAATGCTTATGTCTTCTCTCTCCCTTCAGGTGCCCATTTTCCCCTAGATACTGCACTAGTTGGTTGCCCTGTGATCTCGGCGCTCTGGTGAGTTCAAGAAAAGTTGTCCAGCTTTGTTTTCAGTGTAAGTTTGGGAGGTTTATTCAGCTTTCTATATCTCTAAGCAGAAATCAAAAGTCCCTTCTGTGTTTTATTATTTGTAATTGTGGGAAAATACATATAACATAAAGTTAACCATCCTGACTATTCTTTTTTTTAGAAGCGGGGACAGAGGGAGAGGTAGAGAGACTCTTAAGCAGGCTCCATGCCTAGCACAGAGTCCAATGTGGGGCTCAATCACACAACCCCGAGATCATGACCTGAGCCAAAGTCAAGAGTAGGGTGCTTAACAGACTGAGCCACCTGGGCACCCCAACCACCCTGACTATTCTTAAGCGCACAGTTCAGTGGCATTATGTACATTCACATGGTTGTGCAACCATTACCACCATCCATCTCCAGAACTCTTTTCATCTTGTAAAATTGAAACTCTGTACCCATTAATCAACAGCTCCCCATCCCTATCCCCCCAGCCCCTGGAAATCCCCCTTCTCCTGTGTCTATGAATTTGACTCCTCTAGGAACCTCACAGGTGGAATCATATAGTATTTGGTTTTGATGACTGGCTTATTTCACTTAGCTTGGGTCCTCAAGTTTCATCCATGTTGTAGCCTGTGTGAGAATATCCTTCATTTTAAAGGCTGAATAATGTTCCATTGTATATATATTCCATATCTCCTTTATCCTTTCAGTAGAGTGGGAAAAAAGATTCCTCCAAAAATCCACTACTTTGCAAGCTAGTTTCCCCCACAGAACAGTGGAGCAGAAATCAGCACGTGTGAAGTCTGAAAAACCTAAAGGCATGACTTGAAATCCAAATAGTCTGAGTGGCTAGGGTAATATGTGAAACAAACTGATTTTGAAAATGCTCCGTTAAACACGGGATTCCAAGAAATTCTGCAGGTAAAGTGCCATGAAAGAGAAATTTCCATTAAATATAAGAGCTCATGGGGCGCCTGGGTGACTCAGTTGGTTAAGCAACAGCCTTTGGCTCAGGTCATGATCCTAGGTCCTGGGATCATGCCCCAAATTGGGCTCCTTGCTCAGCAGGGAGTCTGCTTCTTTCTCTCAAATGAATAAATAAAATCTTTATTAGAAAATAAATATAAGAGCTCATAAGAAAAATATTTACACACAATTTAAGAAAACAAGAAAAGATTTAAAAAGTCAAGAGAAACAGCAGAGATCCAAAGAGACTTCAGATATTGGAATTATTGTAGACAGAGCACAAAAGTGCTTAAGGAATAAAAGAAAGGAAAGGAAATAGAAGATGGCACTTTAGCTCAGGTAAAGTGAAAGAGAACATAAAAACACCAGAATATCAGGGCACCTGGCTGGATCAGTTGATGGAGCATGTGACTCTTGATCTTGCAGTTGTGAGTTCAAGGCCCCTGTTGGGCATAGAGATTACTTAAAAATAAAAATCTTAAATTGGATGTAAAGATTACTTAAAAATAAAATCTTTTTAAAAATCACCAGAATATTGAAAAAGTACCAAGTAGAATACCTAGAAATAAAATATATAACTGAAGTACAAAGCAAAAAGAAAGAAATTGCTTGACTCACCAATGATTACTCAAGAGCAGCCAGCTCTTTTTTTTATTAAAATAATTTTTTATTTAAAAAAATTTCACCCACCTTTCTTGAGGTAGATTGACAAATAAAAATTATATAGATTGAAAATGGGTATCATAAATTTTGATATAGGTATATATTGTGAAATGATCACCATAATCAAGCTAAGTTAACAATTCCAGCACCTCACATAGTCACCTCTTTTTTTATGAGTGGTGAGAACACTTAACATCTCAGAAAATTTCAAGTGCACAACACAGTATTATTACAGTCACTATGCTACACATTGGATCCCCAAAACTTACGCATATTATAACTGGTGGCTTGTCCCCTTTGACCAACATCTTCCCTTTCACACCTGGCAACCACTATTCTACTCCCTGCTTCTATGAGTTCAACTTTTTGAGATTCCACATGTAAGTGAGATCATGCAGTATTTGCCTTTTGGTGTCTGGCTTCTTTCACTTAGCATAATATCCTCCAGATTCATCCATGTTGTTGCAAATGACAGGATTTTTTTAAGGCTGAATAATATTCATATATATCACATTTTTTTTTCCATTCACCCATCCACTGGCACTTAGATGGTTTCCATATCTTGGCCATCATGAATAATGCTACAGTGAACATGGGGGTGCAGATATCTCTTCAAGATATTGCTTTCATTTCTTTTGGATACCGTATACCTATAAGTGGGATTTCTGGATCATATGGTAGTCCTGTTTCTGATTTTTGAAGAACCTCCTGGTTGTTTTCCATAGTGACTGCACCAATTTAAATTCCCACCACACACAAGAGTCCCCTTTTCTCCACATCCTTGCCAACACTTGTTATCTTATAGCCATTCTAACAAGATGTGAAGTGATATCTCATTGTGGTTTTGGTTTTCATTTCCCTGATGATCAGTGATGTTGAGCATCTTTTCATATACCAGTTGGCCACTTATATGTTTTGAGAAATTTCTATTCAAGTCCTTTGTCCATTTATTAATCAGGTTATTTGTTTTCTTGATATTGATTTGTTTGACAAACAAAATAAATTTGCAAATACAGAATCTGCAAGTAATAAGGATAGATTATAGAAAACTCAAAATAAGATTGTAGACATGAACCCAAATATGTCACTAAAGCCCATAAATGTCAATTAATTGGTAAAGATTACTAGACTGGATTTTTTTAAAATGTAGATTGACACTGTTTGAAAAATAAAACACAAGTGCATGGAAAGGTTGAAAGCAAAATGAGGGGGCAAAGTCGAGGCAAATGCAAACAAAAAAGAGATGGTATAGTTAGATTAATATCAGGCAATACAGAACTAGAAGATGAGTTTATTTTAGGGATAGAGAAGGGTCACCGTATAATGATAAAAGATTCAATTCACCAGGAATTTTTTCTGTTTACCTAAATCAATAAAATTGAGATATATTAAACAAACATTGATGGAATTATAGGCATAAATTGAGAAATCTTTGTATTGAGAGCCCTCAACACACCTTTCTGTTTTACTGATAGGTCAAAGAGACAAAAAATTAGAAAGAATTAAGATATTTAAACAACACACAGTGGAAAGATACAGTGCTCTGCACGCCACACTTAGAGAGTTTCGGTATCAGAATGTCAATCACTGGATAGGAGTTATGTAGAAAGTCATGTCTTTGGAGGAGGAGGCATCTACTTACTCTGCCTAAGCTTAGGGCAAGGTGTATGAAAGAGACCCATGGAGCTAATTGTACTCCTCAAGGTCTGCCCAGTGACTGAGGCTAAAGGCACATTCTTGGTCGAGTAGCCAAGCAGAAGACAGGTCATGCCATTGGGAGGAGGAAAATGTGAGGCAGGAGCTCTCAGCCATGGAAATAAGACCTGAGGCTGAGTGTGCTCCCAAGGTGGGGTGGGAGTGGAGGGAGCAGCAGGGGGTCATGGGATGTAGTAGAATCATAGTGGGGCCTTACCTGTAGTTTCCCAAAATTGTAACCTGGAAATTCACACTGTTCCCCCAGCCCCTGACCATCTGTAGACCTTTTGATTGCAAAATGCTCCTCGGTTTACTGCAAAGAGCAACCTCTGCCATGTGGGGAAGCTGGGCAAAGAGGTAGGTTCTATGATGGGGTTCTGGGGAAAATTCTGACCACCCAGGCTCAGGAACTGAGGAACCCGCTGGATTTGAAACATTGTCAAATGGACAGTTGGGAAACAGGAAAAAATCCCCGCCATCATTTTAAGTGACTTAGTTTCTTAGGGTCTCAGAAATTTAAGCAAATTACTCTAATCTCTTAAAATTTCTTGCAATTGTACCACTAGGCATGCATTTGAATGACTAAAATAATACATTTACAATCCTAAATGCTAGCAAGTATGTGAGGCAAGTGGAACTCTCATATATTACTAGTAGAAATGCAAAATGGTACAGCCACTTTGGAAAACATTTTGGCAGTTTCTTATAAACATATACTTATCACAAACCAGCAATCCTACTCCCTGGTATTTACCCAAGAGAAATGACCATTTATGATCATATAAAAACTTGTATGAAAATGTTTCTAGGAGGTTTATTCATAATCCCCGAAAACTGGAAACAACCCAGGTGTCCATAACTAGTGAATTACCAACTTATGGTAATTCATAAGATGAACCCTAAATCAGCAATAAGAAGGCCCAGACAACAGACAACAACACAGAGGAATTACAAATGCGTTATGCAAACATGTTGTAAATGTTAATATTGTTAAAGCTGCTACATAACTTTTAAAAGTAAATCCGAGGTGAAATAAGTCAGAGAAAGACAATTATCATATGGTTTCACTTATATGTGGAACATAAGGAATAGCATGGAGGACATTAGGAGAAGGAAGGGGAAAATGAAGGGAGGAAATCAGAGGGGGACACGAACTATGAGAGACTATGGACTCCGGGGAAACAAACTGAGGGTTTTAGAGAGGAGGGGAGTAGGGGGATGGGTTAGCCTGGTGATGGGTATTAAGGACGGCACGTATTGCAATGAGCACTGGGTTTTATACCCAAATGAACATAGAACACTACATCAAAAACTAGTGAAGTACTCTATGGTGACTAACATAATACATATATAAAAAAAAGTAAATCCGTTGGGGTCAAAATACCATCCTAAATTGATACCCACAATCATCCGTTTAAAAAAAATACATGGAAAGCATTTCTTTAAAAGTTGGACATTTTAAAACACTTCTCCGTCTCCTTGAACTCATATTTCCATTCCTATTATCCCACAGACTCTTAATCTAATACAATATAATCTTATGTTCAAGAGTCTTTTAATCACGACCTTTTCATACTGCTATGCAATAAAAATGTGTACAGATTGAAATTTTAATTTTTCATTTACTGGGACCATAAGACTCTAGGAATAAAAGTTTTTCTTATGGATTGATTTTTCATTCCAGTTGTTATTTAAATAACATAATAATAATGGATATGTAAGTAAATACATTGAAATTATTGATTAACAAAATTTTATTGATAAACAAAATTCTATAGGTAATGTATCTCTCAGTGATAAGTTGGTGCTGGGGATCAAAAGGAGTTTTGTTATAGGTATGTCACTTGGTTCTTTGAACTTCTAGTACATTGCCCCAAATCACATAACACTCTATAAGAAAAAAATATTTTTAATGATCTAAGTTAAATATTAATAAACAGGACACCTGGGTGGCTCAGTCGTTTGGGCGGCTGCCTTCAGCTCGGGTCATGATCCCGGGGTCCTGGGATCGAGCCCCACATCTGGCTCCCTGCTCGGCGGGGAGCCTGCTTCTCCCTCTCCCTCTGCCTGCCGCTCTGCCTACTTGTGCTCTCTCTCTATCTCTCTGTCAAATAAGTAAATAAAATCTTTAAAAAAATATTAACAAACAGCTTGATTAAAACCCCTTTCAATTTTTATGAAGGCATGGAATTGGAAACTGTATACTTGAAAAGAATTTGTTTCCTATTAATTAGGATACTGATCACAAATCACAAGTGGTTTTCTTAATTTCTGGAAAGTTTACCAAAAAGTCTTTACCAGTATTTACCAAATGATCAATAATGTTATTAATTATACCCATTATTCTTTTATTTAGACACTTTATTTAATCTGATACACTCTGTAAATGTTGAAAAGTTTGAATACTATTAACTTTGATAGACCTGAGATAATATATATTTTATAAAATGCTTGTATCTTATTGCAAGCTTTAAATACATTTAAAAAAATTTTGATGCCACAGATTTAACTCACTGTATTTATGGAAAATGTTAAATGAATCAACTAACTGATAAAGTCAGTCCTCAATTAGCCAAATCAGACCACTTTCTCCTACAAAAAGATGGACTTAGTTTTTCAATTGAAATGAATGTTTTAATACACATCCCTGCAGATATGTACCATTGCTTTTGGGATTTCTAACTCTAGAAGAGGGAGCTAAAGGCATAGCAATGTACTATGGACTTTGTCACCTGAATGAAACAAGGTACTGACCCCTTAGTGTTTCCTACCCACCTATTTTTTGCTTTGCTCTTGGGGAAGCATCCTCAGGAAAATGCATTTTCAAATTGTTCCTTTGTTTGGAACTCAGTTTTTATACTTTGGACACATATAAGAGGTAAGAAATATGCTTCCATCCCTGCTTTTTTTGGAAGAAGCAGAGGACTTTCTGAAAAACAGAAAAGGAGAAACGCAGACTGCAGGCTCTTTTTCAGGAAGACCAACTTCAGGAATAAGTAAATGTGGAATTTAAGAACCAGAATATCATGTCCTCAAGTCTGTCTGTGCCTGTGTACCCTCTGGAAAATCTTCCTGTGTCCTCTGGGGTATGGGTATGCCAGCATGCAGTATGGACAGGACAGACTGAGTTGATCTTCTCATTTTTCAAGTGGGTAGACTGAGATAAAAGTAGCCCAAATTGACATGGTGAATTAATGGTGGAACTTGGGCCTCAGTCAAAGTCTATTCATTCCTGGCTCATTGTTCTTCCTACAGGACCTTTGCCTATGCCTCCCACGTCTGTTCCAGTCCCCAGGGCCACTGAGCCAGTCCCCCACCCCCTTTTGAATGTTCCTGGCAGGACCCATGTTTTGTACTCTCTTACCCAAACAAATCCCCCTCCAGAATGAATTCACTCTATTTTAAAGTTACCAGGTTTAGGAAATAAAAATATAAGATGACCAACTAAATTTGAATGTCAGATAAACACTGAATCATTTTTCCTGTAACTATGGTCTTTATATTTTGTGGGATATACTTCTACTAAAAATTCTAACTGAATATCCTGTACTATATTTGGCAATCCTATTGATCTGCATCTTTCCTTGCACCCCCCCCCCCAGGAGCTCTGCTTCCTACTAATTGACTACAGGCTAATCTGATCAACTAATACTCAAGACTTGGTTAATAGGTGTAAAACTTCAAACCAAAAGAGTGATTTGATATAAGAATTTAAGACACCATAGGGCCTTGGCTAATCTTTTTGGGGAACAGAAGTAATGATATACACAGTTTTTTACAGAAAATTCAAGAGCTAAAAAGGTAATAGGTACATTTTTTTGGCATTCAGTAAATTATTTGTCTGTTGACTAAAATATATTAAGCACTAATTATGCCAGTCACCATGCTTTCCACAATAGTTCCATTAATTCCCATGTCTATGAAGTAGGTGCGTTACTATTTCCTTTAAGGAAAATGGAGGTGTGGGACGCCTGGCTGGCTCTGTTGGAAGAGCATGCAACTCTTGATCTTGTGCTTGTGAGTTCAAGCCCCACACTGGGTGTAGAGATTACTTAAAATTAAAATCTTGAAAGAAAGAAAAAAGAAAGAGAGGGAAAAAAAAGAAACAAAAGAAAGAGAAAGGAAGGAAGGATGGAAGGAAGGAAGGAAAGGAAGAAAGATTGTGGCTCATTGAGGTTCAGTGGCTGAGTCAAGACCACGTAGCTGGTAAGTGGGGGATCTATGATGTGAACTCAGGTCCAACTCCAAGCACTGTTTTTGACCATTCCATGCCACTTCATGAATGATCTTCACCTGATCTTATCTAATCCTCACAGTGACAGCAAAGCTGCCAGGTAGGTTGTATGGTTTCCATTTTCCAGATGAGGAAACTGAGGCTCCAAGATATAGCTACAGTGAAAAGTTACAAAGCCAGTTCGAAGAATCAGTGTCACTGGGTTTGGGACCATAATTGTCATTACTGGACAGTCCAGGTACTGTTGTAAAATTTGGGAAGGATACAGGATTAGAATTCTGGAGACAAAAATGAATAAATTGCTACAAGTCTTTGCTCTTAGGCAGCCACATAGTGTAGTTTCAGGAGATCTGGAAAAGACTGTACCCCTTTCCCACTGTCTGAAGTTCCACCAATAACATGGATGCATTCCTGGGCATAACGATGTTCTCTGTCTCCTTTCCTTTCTGCCTCCATCATTCTCTTGCTGTTTTCAAAATGCATTTAGTCTGAGAGAGGTAACATGGCAAGGCATTATCAGTTCTTCACATCACAAAATTAAAAAGTACATAAGGACCAGGAAGAGACATGTGGAAATGGGGGTTGAATGAGTAGGAGAGGGTCATCCGTTTATGGGGTGCTCTGGAAGTATCAGAAGCTAGGCTTGGATAACACCAGAAGGAATCCAAGGAATCCTTTTGTTAACCTGAGGTCATCTGGGATATTTTTTGCTTCTGGGGCTCTAAGACCCTGTGGGACCTGCCCAGGCCTTCCTGAAAATCTCATACCATCAGTTTCTTGTCAGTGGAGCAAGGAAAAGTGTTCCCTTGTGTCTGGGCTAGCCCTGGGAATGACAGTGGGCAAACCAACCCTGAAAGTGTTCCAGACAAATCCTTGTAATCATTCATATGTGACCTCTCATGTAGGAGCAAGACAATGGGCGAATGTCCTGGTGGGACAGTACTGTGGCAGAGTGTGGGGCCACTGGGAGGGTCCTGGGCCTGGGTCTGAAGGTCCTACCCTACTCTCCACATGATCTCAGACAAACCCATTCACGACTGCACAATTTGGTTGGTTTCCTCATCTATGAAGTGAGAGAAGTGGTGGGCTGTCTTCATGGTTCTCAGCACATGCTCTGTGTCTCTGTCTGGCTTGTGCCTAATCCCCATGCCTCTTCTCATCCCACACAGGCACCTTCCTCTCCATAGTTCCACCTTCTCCTGGAGAAATGTAGCACTCCTGCTTCTTCTCTCTCTCTCTTTGGAGGAGAGCACTTCATCACCAATCAAGAGAGTCAAACGTGGGTTCAAAGAAGCTGCAACTACCCCTGCTTAGAAGGATTTCCTGGGACTAAGGGTCAAACAGGAGGCAAGAATTCCTGTTTTATGCAGTTACTTCCTCTGTGGCTTCAGAGAACTAGCCCTACTCACCCACCCTGGACCCTTCAAATCCTTCCCTCAACTGTTCCCTCCAAATTATTTCCTTAGCTTTACCTGACATGTGTCTTTTCCAAGTTTAATGTTTTTAAAGTGAATCAGTCACTAGGCAGGAGTCCGAGGGCAGAGGACAGTGAGGAGGCAGTTGCACAAGTGGAGGAGAGAGTTGGGATGACATTGGGGGCTGACCCGCAAGTGGTGGCCAAGAGGGGAAGCCATGGGGCTTGGAGAGATATTGGGAGGTAGAACTGGCCCAAGTCCATGACTGACAGGATGCTAGAGTAAAGGAGAGGGAAGAGTGAATCTCAGGGTTCTCAAGACAACCTGGGGGCCTGTTGATGCCAAATAAAGATGGGAGCAGAGAGAAGGAGGTACTGCTGAGGAATAGGAGAAGCTAATTCTGATTTATACATGTGAGCTTACAGGTCTCTTGAGATGCCCAGACATATGTTCCCCAGGTGGTTGGATATGTGCCTTAGCTGGGAAGTGAGAATAGGTCTGGAGGGAGCCATGGGAACCACAGTTAGCATCATGCGAATTGATGCGGGAAGTGTGTGTCAGGTAATGACAGGAGAGAGCTGAGACCCAAACTCTGGGGAGCATCCCCAGTAGCTGCAGAGGAACCCCCAGGGCTTGTGCATTTGGGGAGACATCTTGCACAGACAAGGTAAGTAGCTGAGGAGGGCTGACTGGGAGGGAGGAGGATTCTAAGTGAGCACTGAAGCTGACAGTAGGGCAAGGAGCTACAATGGCTAAACCAAAAACGGTTTACATGCCTCAGAAGCAGAAGGGAGGCAGGACTGACTAGAGTCTACACTAGTGAGGGGACATTAGTCTTTATAATCCCAAGATCTCTACGCTTTTTTATCTCTTTGGAGGTGTCCCTATTTGAATTGCTTTACTCTCTCTGTGCCCAAACCTAGAACATTAGTTCCCAGGTAACAGCCTACATCATGGTGCTCAACTGCCTGCTTTGGTGTCACCGGAGGCACTTTCAAATGATGTACTATACCTTGGTTAATTGAATTTAAATTAAAAAAAGAGAGGGAAAAAAATTAAGCCCCTAGGCTTCACTTTCTAGAGATTCTGATTCAGGCCATGGTCTGTAGTTTCTAAAAGATGCACAGGTGTTTTCAATGTACACTACAGATTAGGAACCATAATTCTTCTTAGCCTCAGACATCCTTGGAGAGTGCATGAAGGGTGGTATGAAGGGTAAGAAATATAGCTGGAAAGTACTAAAAGTCTCAATGGCCAGTGTTCAGGGCTTCTGGAGTGAGTCACGGATTGGAGGTCCTAGACCCACCCCTCATTCACTGTATTTTCCCATCTGACTTCATTTTTTTTAACCTGGGAAATTAGGAGGGTGATACTAATGATCAATATGGTCTTCCCAATTCTAAACTTCTATTGTTCCAAGATTCAGTAGTCTCCACAAGGATCATGCCTCTCTGGTCAGAAGTCTGGTGTGGTGTGTCAGGTTTCTCTGCTCAGGTTCTCAGCAGGCTGAATCCAGGGTGGCAGCAAACCTGCAGTTCCCATCTGGGACCCAGGGTTCTCATGGACACTCACTGGTGGTGGCAGAATCGTTTCCTTATAGTTGTACCACTGAAGTTGCTTCCAGAGGCCACCTTCAGTCCAGGACACTAAGTTCTCTCTGTCCTCAAAACTCCTAATAGCATGTTGGGTTCGAATCTCTCTTACCTCTTCTCTATTAGTCAAGAGGAAAACTCTTCTTTTTAAGGCCTCAACAACTTAGAACTGACCCAGTCGGATAATCTCTCTATTTTAAGGTCAATTAACTTGGGGCTCTAATTCCATCTATGAAATCCCTCATAGCCCACTTAAATTCATGTTGATTCAATAACCAGAGGACAGGAATCTTGGGGATGTAACTTTAGAATTCTGCCTCCCACAAGCTCAGAAATTAGGAAGCTGTGTCTAGCCCTAAAAAGGGAGGAAGCAAATCCATATCTGCCAAGCTCTTCCCATGTACCAGGCACTGTGATGAATGCGTTACAGGCATCATCCCCCTTAATTCTTAGAAGCAGGTTGTAAGGTAGAGATTGTAATTCTCATTTTATTGATGGGAAACGTTGGACTCAGGAGGAATATTTCCGCCCCCAAGATTATTTAGCTAGTCGTGTTGGAGTCAGGCTCCCAAACCAGGTCTATTTTACACTGCTCCTCCCAACGCCCATTTCTGTTACCCTAAAGGGGGTAACTAAGAAGTTATATAGTGGAACTCAGGTTGGTCTTGATTTCACAAGGAGTCAGGGGATCCAAATCAGGCCTCATGACTCCTATACCCCTATCTCCATGATATTTCTACCACTCCTTACTAATTAATTTCCCCTATCAACTAAGACTCTGGAGGCAGAGGAATTGGGCATTAACATATTAAGTTTCAAGAGGAGAGAGGAGCTCCTGAACTTAAGGTAAGATTCTTGGTCCCTATCTAATTCCCTGCTGTGGAATCTGAGATGCTCCCCTTCAGTTGGCCTGAGCAGATTCTAGATTCAGATCAATCTAAATGAGCTATGAGTGGTGACAGGCAGACCCAGCCCCTAAATATAAGCAGAGGGAGAACTGAGGATGGAAGATAGAAGAGAGGGCTGATAGAATGTCATTATTCACCTTTGCCATGGGAGGAGAGCTGAAACTCTCAAGGGATGTGAATTTGGACATTGCTTTCTTACAGAGAAACCAGGAGTGTGCCCCCGAGAGAGGGTCATCTGTGAGACTGAAGTTCCAGACTTCTGCACAACTGACTTGCAGTGCCTAAAACACATGAAGTGCTGCTCATTCGGGTGTGGGAAAAAGTGCATGGATCCACTCCAAGGTAGTAGCCTCCAGGCTGAGGGCACAGGTGCTTTTTGAGGTGTCTTACTTCCTGCTCCATCCAGAGCTGGTTGAATGATTCCCTTGGATGGTAGGGCAAAGAGGTCAGGATTCATGCTTTTCCTCTTTCTCTAATCAGATTCCCAACCCTCAAGTACAAACAATAAGTCTAGGCATGGGGGATGTCAACTGGAAAATATTGATGATAGTCTTCTTTGATCCAATATTCAAACATTCACAAATAAGTAATACTTGTTGAGTGCTCACTAAGTGTCAAGAGACTATTGTTGGCATTATGGTAAATACAAACCTCAGTCAGCTTAGATGCTGGGCTTGGTTTTGGACTCTTTGGCCTTCAAAGAGGTTTTCTGGTGACTCAAAGTATAGAGCATCTCTTGATAGGAAATTCTGCATTATGTATATATACTTGCATGCATTCACTCAACAGTTATCTATAGTTAATGCCCTTTAGCCAAAGACCATCAGGAACACACCTGTAGTTGAACAAGTTGGATTTATTACTCATTGTAGTGAGGGAGAACGTTCACCATAGACAACCTGAGGGATCTCAGTAAGAAGCTGTTGGAAAGAAACTACTATAGGATTGAGGCTTTGATTGGGGAATTTGGGGGAGTGGATTTGCTCTACATTGGGTGTTGTCGGAAAGTGGGGCAATTTTATGATGCTCTCAGGGAATCTTATGTACAGAGAAGGCAGGCTAGACTGAGGATAAAGTCATAATGGGTGGAGAAGCATAAAGCACTCATAGGTGTTTGGTATTTTGTGGGTTTCACAATACTGTTTTTTAGTCTCCCCTTATGATGGTCCCGAGGCAACCCTGTTTGATGTGGATGTCCTGTGACTTGTTTCTATCTGAGAAGGAATGACATGGCTTAGCTGTGAGCATCAGATCAGCTTCCAGATATGAGAGGCTGCTGTTTTTCTTTCTTCGTGTTTCCTTCCTTCTATGTGCCAGGTACTTTGTTAGGCACTTTGGATATAGTTGCTGAACAAATCTTGCCCTACAAAAGCTCAGGGCCTAAGAGAAGAAATATCAGTTCCATATTTGTAGGAGAGCTAGGCTAGAACTTTTATTGACAGTGGCTCTCTCTATGACTTGTGTGGACATACCAAGAACTGTGTAAAAGCTGAGAGCCTGACCCTTTCTCTTTTTTCCTACCCTTTATGTTCTTCCTTCTTTGCTTCCCCACCTTCAGAACCCTGCATGCTACCCTTTGACGAAGGATACTGTAACATTAGTATCTTACGTTGGTATTTTGACTTTAAACATCAGTCCTGCCAACCCTTTATCTATGGAGGCTGCCATGGGAATGCCAACAACTTCATCAGCATCGCAAACTGCAAAATGGCTTGCTCATCAGTTGGTAAGATGTATATCCCTGGCAATCAGAGGGACAAGACTAACCCAGAAATAGTATACCAGCGTAGTTATATGCTCAGGCTTTGAGGCTTAACTGCGTTGGTTCAAGTCAACTCTGTCATTCACTGAATGGGTGGTCTTGGGTCAGTTGCCTGCTTCCCTGAGCTTCAGTATTCTTGTCTATAAAAGGGGGATAATAATAGTATTTACCTAATGGCGTTGCTGTGCCAGAAAAATGACATAGTGCACATATCTATTGAGTAGTACCTGGGGACTCACCGAAGTATGAAGCATAAACAGGTCAGGTTCTGGAATCCCAGAACCTGTACGGGTAGAGTACAGAGTAAGTGAAGAATAGGATGAGCTGAAGGTGAGGGCTGTGGATTAATTCCTACTATAATGACAAGCACCAGTGATACTGGGAGACAGTGTCTTACAGAGGTAGGTGCCAGATAACCCAGATAAAAATTCTCCTTTCCCCATTTACTGCAAATTCACCTAGTTTCAGTTCCCTCCCCTGTAATACTGGAATAACAGCAAAGACCTCACTGAGTTTTTGGTGGATTATATGTGATCAGGACACAAGGGTTTGACATGGGGACTGTTCAGTAGTGTGGGCTTGCTAAATGGTAGCATTCCAAGTGGTGACCATTGATGTTCAAATGCAACACTATGTGACTTACAAGGCAGCACTGGGAACTTTGATCTCAGAGTCTGGGAAGCAGGCTGAATAGTGTACCGTCACCTCCATAATACAGACAAGAAGACAGAGTCGTAGAGATAGTCAGTTGCCCAAGAATTCACAGTGAGTCAGGGGTAGATCTGGAATTTTAATTCTGTAAGTCCAGTAAGCCTGAATAGCAAAGGCAGTCTTGTGGTCTGACCCTTTGTGGGAGGCTTTATGGAATCATGGCACTAACCATTAGACCTTGGCTCACTCTCAGAAGCAGCAGAAAGAAGAAGCCAGGGAAATGAGCTTGGGTGGGATTGGGGGAAATTTATGTTTGGAGCTAAGAAAGGACCTAACCATAGCTCTGAGAGTCAAACACACCACACTCTGACAGAGTCTGACTTGACGAAGAAGGGAGGAGAAAGAGAAGAAGGAGAAAGAGAAGTAGAAGGAGAAGGAATAAGAGAAGAAAAAAAATACTTCCTGCCCTCAGAGAATTTGCAATCAGATAATGACAACAGGAAACATGCACAAAATCCTAAAGAATTGATTTCAACACAATCTATGTCCTAGTGACCCACATAGTTGTAGCTCCAGTCTGAATTTGATTCCCAAACTCCAACTGCATTCTCTACTCCTTCATCTCGATCTCACAAACACCTCACACTTCACTTGTCTGAAACAGAAGCCCTCATCTTTGCTCTCCCACCTCAAACCTGCTCTATCCATAGTTCTTCCCATCTTGATTGAAATAAACTTCTAAATCACCCTTCATGAATCAACATCGACATTCTCAATCCACACCCATTGAGCTAGGAAATCATTTTAGATCTATCTTAAAAATAGATCCAGAATCTGACCACTTGCTACCACATCTTCGGCTGCCACCCCAATCTGGGGAGCCGTCTTCTCACCTGGAGCTTCAAAGAACAAGCCTAACTCTCTTTCTCTTACATCGCATGAGTTGCTGAGGCATTCCATTCCTCCACAGCCTACCAGAGGTAGTCACGGTAGAGTGAACCAAGTCACAGAAAGAGATATTAGTTTTAAAGGGGGGGAGGTATTTGAAGAGTATGAGATGGGGTAGGGTTTGAGGGAACTCATATCTACTCTTGTTTTAGTCAAGAATGGACAGTGCCCACTCTTCCCTTTCAAGGACCGTATGGTGTGTCCAGCTTCGTGTAAGAGTGACTCTGATTGCCCCAAAACTGACAAATGTTGTGAATCCATGTGTGGCTTTGTTTGTGCCAAGGCTTGGACAGGTGAGGACTGGGGATATACCTCCCAAAGTCTCCAGGGCATATGTTAAGCATGCCATGTTGTCCCATGGAATGGGGATGCCCCTTTGGTTGTCCTTAGATATCTCTTGGGAATTTTTCCTTCTTTAATGCCCAATCACTGCTCTCGTGTTGTCCTCTTGATTTCAGGAAACTATTGTACTAGTCTTCAAAGCCAACCATGCATACTATCACTTCCTATTTTTCTCCATGAGAACTTATTTAATTCTGAGTCTCATTCTTCACTGCCTTACAGGTGGCAATATCCACTTATTCATACAAAAGAATGATAACCATTAGGTACATTCTTAATAAGCCCTTATGTCTGCACAGAACTTCACAACATGTAGAACATATTCACATCCTGTAAGGTATGCTGGGGAAAAGATGGGTAGCAAAATGCTGGTGGGGCAGAAGTGATCTCAGTAGACTCTGAGGCTAGTGCTCATTTCCTCATGTAATGCTGAGATAGTATGGTCTTGTCCCAGGGATTGTTAGTGTTTTGAGGTACAGTACGGTATGGGGGAAGGAACCCAAAGCCTTTCAGCTGACTTCAACTCTTCTACTTGTTTTCTGTGTGGCCATAGACAACTCACTTGCCCCTACATGATCCTCAATTTCTACAACTTATTAAACAAGGAAGTTCTGGGTGCTCTCAATAGTTCTTCTACCTCCGGTACTCTGGGATTAGATAACCCAAATCCTTAAGTTCTGTGGGGGCCGGCAGGAATCCTATCAGATTGTCTATGTCAGAGATGGCCAGACTTTTTGATACTCCTCAAATTATTAGCCACTGAAAGTTGATACTTTCCTTCTGCACTCTATTGTTACTCTGGGGGGAAGGGTAAGAGGCTTAGTCAGAAGAAAACCCTGTTTAGGGTTCCCCAAGTTCCCCAAACCATGATCAAGTATTTTAAGGTCAAATGTCTTATTTTATCCCATAAAGTTAAATCAGGTTTCTGCCCACGTAAGCCCATGGTGTGTTCCAAGATTGATAGACCCAAGTGCCTGAAGGATCATGATTGCCCAGTGTCACAGAAGTGCTGTTCACATTGTGGACTGAAGTGCCTGGAACCTCAAAAATGAATAGTAAGTGGAAAGTATTATCATCGATGTAATTACTTATGAGTAGCATAATAAAAAGCTATCATTTTTATCTTCTATCGAACTACTTTCCCAAATTGTCTTATGAAGTATAACAATATACAACAAAATTTTATATATATGATTTTGTATATAATCATATCTTCTGAAAATGATGAGAAATTTGACTCTTGCTTATTCCAGTTTCATGACTTACTTTGTTTCCTTGTCTTTTTATATCATGTAGAGCCTCTGAAACAATGTTGAAAACAAAGGCAATGACATCTATCCTTGTCTGGTTCTTTATTTTAAAGTCAGCATCTCATCAGAGAATCTCTTAGTGCACAAATGAGATCTAATCAAGCTGAATTTTAAAAAATGCTGTACTGAGACTCAGTCTAAATTGGATGCTCTAACAGGGTAAATGAGGCAGAAGAGAGAGTAAGTGATCTAGAAGACAGGTTGATGGAAAGAAAGGAAGTTGAGGAAAAGAGAGTTAAACAACTAATAGCCCATGAAGACAAGCTTTGAGAAATCAGTAATGCCATGAAACATACCAACGTCAGAATTATTGGGGTGCCTAAGGGTGAAGAGAGAGAGTGAGGGCCAGAAGGCATATTTGAGCAAATCATAGCTAAGGACTTCCCTAATCTGGGGAAGGAAACAAACATTCATGTCCAAGAGGTAGAGAGGACCCCTCCCCAAATCAATAAAAATAAATCAACAACCTGACATATAATTGTGAAACTTGCAAAATTCAGGGACAAAGAGAAAATCCTGAAAGCGGCTTGAAAAAAAAAAGGCTCCTAACCTACAGAGGGAGGAATATCAGACTAACATCAGACCTATCCACAGAACCCTGGCAGGCCAGAAAGGGCTGGCATGCTATATTCAGGGTACATGTAGCCATGAATACTTTATCCAGCGAGGCTCTCATTCAGAATGGAAGGAGAGATAAAGAGCTTCCAGGACAGACAGAAATGGAAAGAATATGTGACCACCAAGCCAGGCCTGCAAGAAATATTAAAGTGGATCCTGAAAGGGAAGAGAGAGATGAAGAGTAACATAGACCAGAAAGAGAGACAATCAACAGACACAGGGACTTTACAGGCAATACAATGGCACTAAATTCATATCTTTTAATAGTTACCCTGAATATAAATGGGCTAAATACTCCAATCAAAAGACATTGGGTATCAAATGGATAAAAAAAAGCAAGACCCATCCATATGTTGTCTACAAGAGACTCATTTTAGACCTAAAGACACCTCCAGACTGAAAGTGAGGGGGTAGAGAACTGCTTTCCATGCTAATGGACCTCAAAAGAAAGCTGGGGTAGCAAACCTCATATCAGAAAAATTAGATTTTAAACTAATAGGAAGTAGTAAGACTGTAGTAAGATATGAAGAGGGACACTATATCATACTAAAAGGGTCTATCTAACAAGAAGATCTAACAATTGTAAATATTTATGCCCCTAACATGGGAGCAGTCAATTATATAAACCACTTAATAACCAAAGTAAAGAAACACTTTGATAATAATACACTAATAGTAGGGGACTTCAACACCCCACTCACAGCAATGGACAGATAATCTAAACAGAAGATTAACAAAGAAACAAGGGCTTTGAATGACACACGGGACCAGATGGACTTCACAGATCTATGCAGAACATTCCATCTTAAAACAATAGAATACTCATTCTTTTTGAGTGCACATAGAACTTTCTCCAAAATAGATCACATACTGCATCACAAGTCAGGTCTCAACCAACACCAAAAGATTGGAATTATTCTCTGCATATTTTCAGACCACAATGCTTTGAAACTTGAACTCAATCACAAGAGGAAATTTGGAAGGAACTCAAACACTTGGAGGTTAAAGATCATCCTACTAAAGAATGAATGCGTCAACCAGGAAATTAAAGAAGAACTTAAAAAGTTCATGGAAACGAATGAGAATGAAAACTCATCTGTTCAAAGCCTTTGGGATACAGCAAAGGCAGTCCTAAGAGGGAAGTACAAGCCTCTCTCAAAAAATTAGAAAAATCTCAAATACACAAGCTAACCTTACACCTAAAGGAGTTGGAGAAAGAACAGCAAATAAAGCCTAAACCAAGTAGGAGAAGAGAAATAATAAAGATTAGAGCAGAAATCATAAAACAGAAGCCAGAAGAACAGTAGAAACAGATCAATGAAATAAGAAGCTGGTTCTTTGACAGTATTAAATAGATCGATAAACCTCTAGCCAGACGTATCCAAAAGAAAAGAGAAAGGACCCAAACTAATAAATTATGAATGAAAGGGGAGAGATCACAAACAACAACAAGGAAATACAGACAACTTTAAGAACATATTTGGTTTGGAACCAGAAAAGACCCCGAATCACCAGGGGACTGTTAAAAAAGAAAACCAAAGCTGGGGGCATCACAATGTCTGACTTCAAGCGATATTACAAAGCTGTGATCATCAAGACAGCATGGTATTGGTATAAAAACAGACACATAGATCAATGGAACAGAATAGAAAACCCAGAAATGGACCATCAACTCTATGGTCAACTAATCTTTGACAAAGCAGGGAAGGATACAAAATGGAAAAAAAGACAGTCTCTTCAATAAATGGTGCTGGGAAAATTGGACAACCACATGCAGAAGAATGAAACGTGGCCATTCTCTTACACCATACACAAAGATAAACTCAAAATGGATGAAAGACCTAAATGTGAGACAGGAATCCATCAAAATCCTAGAGGAGAACACAAGCAGCAACCTCTTAGACCCCAGCCACAGCAACCTCTTTGACCTTGGCCACAGCAACCTCTTGCAAGACATGTCTCTAAAGGCAAGGGAAACAAAAGCAAAAATGAACTATTGGGATTTCATCAAGATAAAAACTTCTGCATAGCAAAGGCAACAGTCAACAAAACCAAAAGGCAACCTATGGAATTGGAGAAGATGTTTGTAAATGGCATATCAGATAAAGGGCTGGTATCCAAGATCTATAAAGAACTTCTCAAACCCAACACCTTAAAACAAATAACCAAGTCAGGAAATGGGCAGAAGACATGAACAGACACTTCTCCAAAGAAGACATACAAAAGGCCAACAGACACATGAAAAAATGCTCCACATTACTTGTCATCAGGGAAATACAAATCAAAACCACAATGAGATACCACCTAACACCAGTCTGAATGGTTAAAATTAACAAGACAGAGAAGAACAAATGTTGGCGAGGATGTGGAGAAAGGGGAACCCTCTTACATTGTTGGTGGGAATGCAAGCTGGTACAGCCACTCTGGAAAACAATATGGAAGAAGTTAAAAATAGAGCTCAAGAAGTTAAAAATAGAGCTACCCTATGACTCAGCAATTGTACCACTGGGTATTTACCCCAAAGATACAGTTGTAGTGAAACAAACGGACACCTGTACCCCAGTGTTCATCGCAGCAATGTCCACAATAGCCAAACTGGAAGGAGCCAAGATGTCCTTCAACAAATGGATGAATAAAGAACATGTGGTTTATATATACACTGGAATATTACTCCGCAATCAGAAGGGATGAATACATACCATTTACATTGACATGGATGGAATTGGAGGGTATTCTGCTAAGTGAAATAAGTCAATCAGAGAAAGAAGATTTTCATATGGTTTCACTCATATGTGGAATATAAGAAACAGTGCAGAGCTACTGGGTATTTACCACAAAGATACAAATGTAGGGATCCAAAGGGGTACGTGCACCCCAATGTTTATAGCAGCAATGTCCACAATAGCCAAACT